TGCTGTTTTAGCTTTAGTTAGTTCTGAATTGACTTTGTTACATATTTCTTTGAATTTCTCCCAGTGAATCTGGGAATTATTTTTAACAGCCTTTTTCTTGTAAGAGTCCCTAACCCTCATCAGATTTTTGATATCAGGGGAAATCCAAGGAATAGAATTTCCTCTGAGTCTCATCAGTCTTAGGGGCGCATGCCAATCAAGGATGTGTAGGAAAAGGGATCTCCATACCCGCCAACAAACATTTGGGTTATCATAAAGCGCCACATTTTCCCAGGGCATCTGGGAAAGATCATTAAGAAAGTTATTGGCATTGAATCTTTTGAAATTGCGAACATATCTTGTCTTTTGCCGAGATTTAGTGACACAATATTTTCTAACAGCAAAAACCAAACTATGATCAGATATTCCAAGATGAATAACACCAGATTTCGAAATATTTTCCTCTTTGTTTGTCAATATCAAGTCTATTAAGGTTGCTGATGTTCTTGTTACCCTTGTAGGCCATTGACCTAATTAGTTTCTTCATTTCACAGTTCCTGTTCTCTTGAAACAAGTCGATTTCAATGTTTTTACTGGAACCACCTTTCCAGTTAACAGTAGCCGCCCATTTGGGCCTTTGCTTTGGACAGCAACACTTCGCACTGTAGGATGTTTATAAACATTTCAATGGCAAACTCATTGAACCCAGGTGTTGAAAAGAAATGGGCTAACAACGTTTCCTGAGGATCAATAAGTGCTCACCATTGCCAGTGGAAACAGCATCCTTAAAGTCAGCCAGCAACATGAAACACTTCATGAGGTTGACTCCACAGCACCAAACACCGTCTGACACCTCATCTCCACCAACAAAAACATACTCGTCAAGGAATATGTTGATAACTTGCAATATATAGGTTTTCCTGTATTCCTCTTTCAAGACATGAACACTATGAGGACCGTTTGCTGTTGGTTTGTGTTTTATATCATCCATGTGGAAAAATTCAAGCAGAGCTTCGATAACAAAACACTTACCAACACTGAGGAACAGTTGCTCACAGTCCTCATAGTGTTTGACATCAGCTGTGACGTTTCTTCTATTCAGCTTTTCCCTGAAAAAGCATAGGGTTCCTTTCTCTTGTCCTGAGTTCTCAAAGTTTTTTGAATACAGTCTAAACAAAATAAAAAAATCATTACAATAACTATTATTGTAAATGGTAACAATACCAAGGGACAGTTTAATTTTAATCAGGCAAGGGGGTGTGAAATTTATTGTAATCTCTTGAAACTTTGGCATGACCCACCCTTCATACTTTTTACGACCGCTTACTTTGTGAACATATTTTCATATGGGAACTTGTCCTCGTCACGTTTTAGGAGGAGTTACTATTTTTAGACTTTTAGGGATTGGATTAAGATTAGGGTCAGGGTTAGAGTAAGAGATTAAGGTTGAGTTTAAAATACAAAAGAATACAAAATTACAAAATAGTAACTCCCCGAAGAACATGACAGGTACACTTCATGATTGCGAGGCAATTCTGTGTGCAATTTGTGTTGCACCCTGAGAAAAGTTGCATAGTGTTACAACACCCGAAGACTTGACTAATGCATTTATACAATACCTTCAAGAAACTTTTCTTGCTGTGCCAATCAACAATACAGAATGGATACAGGTGGTCCAATCTTTGCTTCGCTGAATGACATCCAGCTCTGAGATCTCGTCCCCCAGCAAACCGAACTCGAGTAAGTTGGTCACCATAGCAAGGTATTTTAACCCCACGTAATGGATCACTTTCAGAAGCAGCAGGTGGGAGATGTGAGCCAGGTTGGTCTGGTCTTGATGTGGTTCCGACAGTGGGGTTGGTGGTGTCATCGCTGGATTCAGGATCTGAGGAACACATCCCAGCAGCTGTATAGATCTCATGTGTCCACTTTTCAAGCTGGTCCAGAACTTCCACAACATCGGCATATTTCTTTTCGTCTTTCATTACGACAGGCATTGTCATAACTCTGACTTTCTTGCCATTTCCTGAGCATGAGCACAATCAGTGTTCCCAGAGATGTACGGTTTGAACATTGCAAAACATGGGAAATGTTCAAACAAAAGCTTGGCAACAAGTATTCTATACCAGATTCGAATTGCATCCAATTCCAGTGGATTGATATCCATCAACTGTTGGGCATTGCAATCCTTCAGATCCTTCTGTGGACCAGAATCGGACAACCCTTCATCAGAAACACAGTTAAACACAATACTTGTTGCCACAGCATGAACACTTCTGTTTTGCACATCCTGTCTCATATCATGTGCCTTCTCCTCCCAATCGATATTGTCCAGCACATACACAAACGTATGGCCAGACTTCACCAACTCTGCAGCATGTTTAATAAACTGCTGGCCAATGTCATCAAGAATTGGGTATTTCATGTTCAGTTCAAGGCACATACCATATTTATTCAAGCGAGCAATCAACTGAAATAATTAATGTAATAGAGAAGATGAGTATCCCATTTTGTCCCTGAATGCACTCCTAAAATTAGGGCTCAAAAACAGTCATGTAACACAAGCAACTCATCAGTAACTGGCCTGAGGCAGCACTTTACTTTGCAATAACTTTTATTATACATAACATTGTAACAAAAGTGGTAAAGAATGCCATTTTACAGTTTTACTTATACATTTACTTTTTGCTTATTATAAAATCTGATTTTAGAACCAAAAGATAACTCGATTATAATTTCACGCTGTTCGCCGATTTGAAACAGTGGATACCAATTAATTCACAAAATCAAACTGCATGTAACCGAAACACTGTTGTTCCTACAAGTCTGAAAACAAGTTTTATTTGGGAGCATTTATTATTGAGAAAAATTAATGGAAAAAAGCCAAGCAAAAATGTAAGCTGGATAACAAATGAATATACAGATTATAATTTTGCAGCATGTCAATTTTTTACAGATTCATACTTCCTTGTCTCCTACTTGCCGTTTCTGGTACATATGTTGCCATATTGCTAATCTGCTTTGTTTTTAAAGTGGCAAATGTATCTTTATTTCACCCATTTGTCAATTTGATGCATTCTACTTACTGTACTCAACCAAACATATAGTATACACATAAACATGCAGATCAGCCCAAATCAGTTTTTTAATATACCATAAACTAGTGTCAACAAACTGAAATTTATGACAATATCTCAACCATATATATATAATCCAACATAATAATTGCCACACAATGATTGCACACAACACCCAACATTTTGTATTTTGACACTATACATTATTACAGGTGCATGTACCACAGAACACCACAAACATTTATTCGTATAACAGTCTTTTGTCTAATGTATATAATATGGTTTCTTAATATTTTTAGTATAGTCTATCGATATATTTTGTATTTTTTCTTCCTTGGGGTTTTTGGGGCAAGATTGAATCTGTGGATGTATAATATCAGAATACTAGTGCAGAGTTAAGTACAGTAAGCAATGGTTTATCAAATTGTACCAGGATTTGGTGTGTTATATTGTGTTTTATTACATAGTACAGAGTGAGATACTAAAAAATACACAGTGACATATTTTCCATATCTTCACTAGTAACATATCAATCATGTGACTTTTAGTATTTATATTTTTGGTTGGGACTGTATAATAAACAGAACATTACACGGTGGCTTGATCAAAGTCGTATCTTCGTGCTGCCATGTAATATCCTCTATATAATAATGTGAAATATTACTAACTTAATTAATGTAGTAAAACTTAAATACTAAAATCAGTACAGAATACCAGTGGTACTGTGTAATTGCTGTGTAGTAATAATCAGGAATTACTGTGTAGTAATTATCAGGCAATTTGAGTAATAACATGATGATAAGCGAACTGTGAACAACAATTACAATTCAAATACTGTAGTCAATAGTGAAGCAAGTTGGTAGGTGGGCGGCACACATGACCGACACAACTCGGCACCAGAGCTAGCAGACTACACCCCTACCAGATCATGCTGGATCCATCCCTGGTAATAATGCAGTGTTGCATAGAAAAAGTATTGAACAACATAAATTATGCTGGTTTGCAAATGTATTTTTAACCAATTGAGGTGCAATGCACCCCACTTTGCTTTTTACTTGTATAACGCCAGACAATTTTACTTGTCAATGGGAAAGCTCTGCAGCTTAATGAGTAAAAATTCAGATTTTACAAGCATAATTATGCCAAAAAAAGGGGTACCCAAAACATAGAATAACCATAAATTAAGCAGATGGTAGGATATTTCTTCTTGGGGCAGATAATGCTTTCCAGGAGAGCTGCAAGAATGATGTTGGTAACTGGACATCTGGTAGCCAACTTTTCCAATACCTCTGACATCCAACTGTCAGTTGACATACCATCATAGCGTCTTCGTCTCAACACAGAAGGCTCACTTCTTCTGGCAACCTCTGTCAATTCTTTGCTTGCCTTACCCAATACTTGAGCACTCTTTAAAATAATAGTACTATTAAAGGACATATATAAAAAATAACTACTGAAATAATCAGATATTAAACTAAACAATTAGTTAGATGATAAAATGTTATGATATTCATGTATAATTGCATTTAAAAAACTCATTAATAATTCATGATGAAAACACAAAGAAAAATCATAAGCGTGTCGTATCTGTATATGTGATACAGATTCATGTTGATTTACATAAACTTTAACTTTGATTTTCTCAGCTTAGACAACGTTTATTTTTAAAATTACTTCACCAATGAACTTATAAGATGAGTCGTTTTTTAAGTTGTTTACAACATTCGCGTCCGTGTTGTATCGGATATACAAACTCTCGCCTCCGGCTCGTGTTTGTATATCCGATACAACACGGCCGCTCATGTTGTAAACATTACATACAATCTTATGAATGAACCATTGTTTAATATGCATGAATGCATTATTAATTTTTTTGGCATGGTTCATCAATGACGCTAAAAAATAATAAAGAGAAAATAATAAAGGAATAACTGACCAAAGATAGAAAAAACAACAAAAGCAAAATATACTTACATGCAAAGATAATCTAGAAATTGCACTTTCAGATGGACCGCTGCCACTAGTAGCATCAACTGCAAAGTCTATACTTCGACGACGAGAGCTCCCAGTTGCTTAGACTTTGGTGGACGGTTTGGCTACAGACGGGGAGAGCGTATGAACCTCCTCTCGTAAAGGCCCTGTTACATGGTGCAATTTTTCATGCAACTTGTCTCGCAATGTTTATAAAAAGATTTTGATAATGCATTGCAAGAGGTGTTACACGCTGCAATGATTTTCATGCAACTCGCAACGATACGGGACAGAGGCATGCGAAGAGACTAAGGAGAGGCGCTATTTGGCGCCAAATTTTAATTAAAATAAAGTGTGTACTGGGGAGAGCCACTAGGAACTCTCCAAGCTATAAACATTGCGAGACAAGTTGCACGAAGCCATGTTACACGCTGCAACGCTTAAAATAATTAGTGCAATCGTTGCCAAAAGTAGAACCGACTTCTACTCTCTGCAATGCTTCATGCAACTTGTCTCGCAACGATTTTGACCATTGCAAGGCATGTTAAACGGTGCAATGACTCGTGCAACTTGTCTCGCAACGCCATTGCGAGACAAGTTGCATGAAAAATTGCACCGTGTAACAGGGCCTTAACAAATACTGGGTTTCAGTAACAGTCTTTTTAAACTGACTGAAGTTATTGAGCCTCCTTTTACACAACATGCAAATCAAATGAGGAAGATGGATGTCTTGTCGCAACTCACCACCATAAACTATCTCCGCATTGCGTAAGATCGACTGATTCTGCTCCCGATAAAGATTTTTACTGTGACCTGGGTCAGTAACACAGTTACAAAGTCTGCAACGAGAAATAGACGTCGATTCCATTCGTTTTTGGTGGCGCTTTTTCAGCGTGCAATGAATAAGCGTTTGAAATTTGACCAGAACTTCACGCTTGAAATGTAATTTAATACTCAATAATCCATATGTCTGATCACAACAGGATGTGGTTAATTTCAACTGAAGATTTATTAAATGCACAGCTGGCACATTACGATTTGTGATGTGTGATCAAAATAAATAAAAATACAAAACAATATATAAAACAAAACACTATAATTTTTCAATTTTCCCTAAAATGACAACAAATACGCTCCCCTGCCACCCTACCCTAATGTCATTTTCAATTTACCACACGAAATCCGCATGACACGTGACAAGCCCCAGCTAGGGTCTTTCCTCAGCAAGAGGGAAGAGCCTGGGAACAAGGTTGTAGCATGACCTGTTGCTATGGCTATTATATACAGGGTGTATAAAATTTGAATGCCTTTTCAATTGCCCATATGCTGAACCGTAGTGTGTGAAATATTGATGGGGTACATATATTAGAAAAAGGCGACCTTTAGAAAGTGAAATAAGTTTACACAAAAGATTGTTTGCTCCACATGTGTTCAGCGCATATGTGCAATTGAATTCCTTTTTTTTATACACCCTGTACACAAAAGCAAGAAGTTATAAGCATTGAAGAAGGTATTCATATAAAATCACCCATGCCAACAAAGTAGAATTAGAATATTTAGCTTCCTTTTTTTTTATACACCCTGTGTACACAAAAGCAAGAAGTTATAAGCATTGAAGAAGGTATTCATATAAAATCACCCATGCCAACAAAGTAGAATTAGAATATTTAGCTGACCTTCGACATTGTGCAAGGTGTTTGGTATTCAAAATGCACTTTTCCTACCCCATGAACACCTAGGTCTTAGGGGCTGTTTACATGATGGAAGGTGGGATGATTTTGAGTAGGATGGGATGAGTTTTGTAGATGACTTATTTCAATAAAGCAAAGCAGGATCACACAAACAGCCCCTTATTCAGCAAATTGCGCATGCTGGCTTTGATCCATTGGGGATGAGGCAGCACTTTCCTTGTGATAGTAACTTCTAGTTTATAATACCAATCGATTTAGACATTTTCCTTGCTACATGCTATATGTGGGGCTTCCAGGTAAGATGTTCATCTAAGATTACCCCAAGAAAACCAACCTCATTAATTAAACAAACTTGATGAATATTTAAGAATATGTTAAATTCAACATAAAATTAGTTTTCTTTAAATTAATTGATAATTTATCAGCTGAAAACCAATTGGAGAGTTTATTTAACTCACAATTAACTTGATCGATTAAATCAGAAATGTTTTTATGCGAGTAAAATAGATTTGTGTCATCGGCAAATAGAACCAGTGGTGTAGCCAGAACGATAATTATGGGGGGGGGGCATATTCATATATTCGTGTTCTGCTTAATTAATTTCTTTTGAAATCAATTGTTTTTATGGCATGTGAACACGAATATATGAATATACCTAATTATCGTTCTGGCTATGCCACTGAATAGAACAAAGTGAAATATGCTTGAAACATTACATATATCATTAACATACATAAAAAATTTTGAATTTCTTTAATTGCATCTAAATCGGCTTTAGTCTTCTGTGAATGCTTGATAAAAAGTTCATTAAGATGATTTGACTGGAGATTAAAGCGGAAATCAAACAAGGCTTCCAAGCCGTTCTGAAGTGAAACCATATTGATGCTGCCTTCGCCGACTTCATCCCTCAAGTGTTGAATTCACTGCTTCATCTAATAATTCATTCTTTTTCTGATTTTTTTTTCTTTGGAGGCATAAGGCAATCTCCTTAGACAGTATAAGTGACAATAATTCTTGTATAATTTGGACTTGTACTTGCTATAAATTTTATGGAGCACTAAAACATAGTCTGCTCTGGTTGATAGGTATAAAGTACCATGTAATGAAATCCTTTAAACTGATATTTAAAGTAACTGAGTCCTCTCTCAATCTGAATTCTCGGAATGTTTGAAAAATGCAATTGAATTTAAGCATTTTTATTTTTAGCTCCATTAAATTTTGGGAAACATATGAATGAATCCCTATCATTACAGTATATGCACCCTTCTAAAATGTGTTAATGTTCTTTAGAAGGATGATTTCTATAGTTTATTGTCTTTCATTGTTACTGTATAATTAACCAATTGATGAATTGCATAGCCTGTTCGGATAGCCTATAGGTATGTGGCAACCGAACACTTTTTACAACTGCATACTGTAATCAGAGTAAGCAAACTTTGAACATTCATCTGCCAGCCCTGTCCAAATTAAATATTATTTGACCATAAAAATGTATTGAACACAACTTTCATTTTGGGTAGAGACGTCAACTGTACAGTGGAAGTAGGAGAAGTGCATCAAGTGGGTGATCAGTAGCAAAGGGTATGGTTCTCCATATTCTTTTCTGTAGCCATAGCCATATAGGCTATAATGCACATTTATAGGATTGATGTATTTGAGCACATTTATAGGATTGATGTATTTCATTTGCATCATCAACAATTTAGTTTTTTAGTGATAAATTTTTTCAAGCAATTAGTTTCAAAACATGTGACATGTGTGGACAAGTGAAGTAATATATATATGGAATTTGAGAACTGTGGTGTGTTATTAATTTAAGCGATCTATTGATTGATGTAGAAAAGACAATTACAAAAGCGATGTTCTGCTTGGTGGAAAACAGACAAACTACCACACCATCTCCAACAGAAAAGTTAAACTTTGTCCGAAATGACTTGGGAGAAAAACGAGTAGCATTTCCTTCCACTCCTTCAAGTGCTGTTGTAAAGGGAGTGTTGTAGGTATTTATTTATCACATTAGAACGACCACATCAATTCTCAAAACCAAAGTGTGTGATATTAATAGGAATTAACAGAGTGTTGCATTCGCAACGATATTAATTGTCTTAGACACTCTATCTATCATAGCTATGACCTATGACTATGTTTCTTCAGATGATTGTGTCATGAGCAATCCGTAAACAATAATAATTTATTATTACCATTAACATTTTTGCATGTTGCTTATAGTCGTTTATACAGCTATTTCAATTAAGGTTGTCTACGAGCAAAGCGGAAAAGTCAAATATGAGCGCGAAAGGCTGCTGGGAATCGCTAACAAATTAATGAATTTTCAAAGAGGTTCCCAGCAGCCTTTCGCACCCGTATTCGACTTTTCCGCTTTGCTCATGGACAACCTTAATTGAAATAGCTGTATGCTGTTTGAAATGGAATAGGTTTCAATGAGTATTAATGAATGTATTTTAATGAAAAACTAAGAAAAATATCATTGCAAAAATACTAATGTAAAAAAATACATGCAATATTTTCGCTATTTACTGTAATAGCTCTTGTGTCACTGTGAGATATAGTATTTTCGTTAAAATTCCAGGTCTTACCCAACATTGAAACATGCCGGTGGATTTCAGTTCCTTCTTACAAAAAAACGTCAAGAAAGGAACTGTTTGTCATTAGCCACAGTAGTTGTGATGCAGAGCAGTTTGCAGAGTAGTTGTGATGCAGAGCAGAAGTGCTTTGGGTCGGGAAGAGTTTACATTCCCCTTTACAAAAGAGCATTCAACTGACAGTTTGGTAGCAGTGTCTGTGACGAGGGGGAAGAATGTCTGTCCTGCCATTTACCAATTGCTGTTCGCGATATGTGGAAACATTGTGAAGAATGTCATGTAAGATACATTTTATGAAACTGTAGTATGCACCTGAGAGAACAATAAAACATTTATGTGACAAATTGTAATTAAATTAATCTCTTATAGCAGATCAGCAAGTTATAAGTAGGTTCAGCAGTCAGTCCTTAAAGGTTAATGAGTTTTGATTGCTAAATCATGTAGGGTTGTCCAAACAGTGATGAAGAACTTGATACACATAACAAAGAAATTGATGATGAACAAGAGACATAAGTAATAGTGTTGAAAACAAAAACTCTCTAGTACATGTATAAATGCCATATGCATTGCAGACTGACAAGCATGTAACATACACATACATGGCCATAACTGTATTAGCACAAACATGCATGCATGGCTATATAATAGTTGTACTGTAATTTGTAGTTGTGCAATGTACAGTATACCTCACAAGTGCTGCAGAAATACGTGCCTAGCATAGAGACATTTTTACATAACATCAAATTAGCAGGTACTCAGTTTACTGTATGTAAGAACTGCCTTGGTTGTTAACATGAAATTATATTATTTAGGAACATTGATATACCAGAAGCCCACTTCAATGACCAATCAGTTGAACTGTTTCATGATGACAACCAAGAAGAGAAAAATAGTATTGAAATGACCAATCAGGATGATGCCTCTCAGCCAAGTGGAGCAATTGAAGCAGATGATAATGCTATATACAAAAAGACCCAGTCAGAAATCGGTACATATAATATACATGAAGCAATGTGAATCATTAATGCTAAATCAGCATCCAATCCTCCCGTCCCTTCGTACATGTAGGGTATATACTGCAATCTCTCCATTAGCCCCCATAAAGCACCCCGTTTAATATCCACCCACCCACCCCGAAATCTATTCGTAAACCTTTTAGAGAAATTATGTCATTCCAGGAACATCGAAAGAGGGCATTAGAGAGGAAACAATATTTGAAATTTAAGAGAGAACCGATGGTGTATTTAAACGTATCTGAGTTTTCACATGACTTTTTCTATTTATACAATTTTTTGCTTGGGACTATATAATAAACAGAACATTACACAGTTGACACGGTGGCTTGAAGATATGACATGTATCTTCTCATGTTAAAAACAATATTTTACTCACAAGCTGTGCTCGTTCCAAAAATATTGTTTTCATCACTCAAAGATAAAAGTAATATCTTAATATGAACAATATTAGTGTAATATCCTCTCTCTCTCTCTATATATATATATATATATATCACTAGACATCTCAACTATGACTATGTATATTTGCTTAATATGTTCCAGTTATATAATATATTCATAGGTTTTTTTTCAGAGGTGATTGAGAGGAGCCTGTAACAATACTCCATGTTTTCCATAAGAATTTTATGTGTGGCCGTCCCCTCGACCCTGTAGATAAATCGACATACATTGAAGGGAAAACAACAGAAATATTGTTTCTCGCATGAACCTATATGATACGATGGATGACATCCTTACTGAAGGAGCTGATCCCATCGACAGGAGTCTTCCTTTGGAAGTTACCTTCACAGGAGAACATGCTCATGATTTTGGTGGACCAAGAAGAAAATTTTTTTCTTCCATGATGAGATTGATAAAGGAAAATTTATGCATCGAGAATAAAGAAGGTGGATATGATCTTGAGGACAATGTAACGGCACAACCAATTTATATATTTTGGAGCAGGTGTTGTTTTTGTCAGTATCGCTGACCATTTAACTCTAGAGTTAAATGGTCAGCTAACTCTAGAGTTAAATGGTCAGTGATACTGAGATAGAGTTAAATGGTCCGCGATACTCACTGTGCCATACTTTATTTGTTATGTCCCAGAGACACAGAATGCGGCACAATATTTCATTTGCAAAAGAAAATTCAACCGTATCTGAGAGTAAATTGTAAGATGTTGCAGACCAAATGTCTCAAAGTCTTTTAGCTATATCTTATATCCTTAAACCAGGGTCAAAATTATTTGACAGAGACACAACCGGGTCGCATTCTCTGTGTGTTGGTTGCCATTTATTGTAATCCAATTAAATGAAAAATTAGTAACTTATCGCGATGGCTATTTTTAGCCACAGTATGTGAGGAAATTATAATTTAATGCAACAAGAACGCTAAAGTATCTATTTATAATTATTTTAGGTTACAGCCTATTTCAAGCTTTATTCACTGAAGAATCGGAAAAGACACAAATTGAAGAACAATTCGTGCAGGGAATTGCCACATTCGGATTGATTAAGGTTTGTAAAAACAATTGATTACTGAGACATGGTGATGGGTGGACATAAATTCATTTTTATATAACATGTTTCGTATAGTCTGACAAATTAATTAATTAATAACAAATGTTGCGCTCGGGAAATTTAGAAGTTATTCTTTGCATTTTCTGACAGATTATTTAATTAATAATTAACCATTCATTGTTTAGTTAGTTAATAAAATGGCGACGTTCTTTGCTGTACCTGTTCTCGCAGACTGCCGTTTCTTCGATAACATATCCAAGGCTAGTGAAAATTCTTAAGCCAACGTTTAATGAGCAGGGATCAAATAGAAGAATCCAAGAAGAAATGGCATACAGATACTTACTACTGGCGGGTATGTAAAGCTGGTTACAGACGAGCAAGTTTTCTATGACACGTTTTTATGTGACAAGTTTTATTTGCTCATCTGTATGCACAACTTTGACAATTTTGCAATTCAAGCTAGCATGTGCACTTGTCATAAGAAAACAAGTGCACTTGTCATCGAAAAATTGTCAAAGTAAAAATTTTGTTCGTCTGTATGGGTCAACGAAGAAAACTTGTCAAAGTAATCTGACATTTGATGTGATTGGCCAGCTACTAATAAATTGTCAAAGTAAACTTGTTGACACGTTTGCACCAGTAAATAAAACTTGTAGTATGAAAACTTGTCATATCAAATTTTGTTGTATATACACACATGCACTTGGTAAATAAAACTTTTCACATAAAAACATGTCATAGAAAACTTGCTCGTCTCTAACCTACATGGTACTCCTTTAATTAGTGTGTGTTTATTCAATATTTCCTCTATAGTTTTTATAATATCATTTGTCGTTTTGTTTATATTATTTAAATTATTTAATTTAGCATTCCAGTCAACATGATTTAAATCTTGTAAGTAATGTTCTTCGTTAAACTATAAAATATTTTATCTTTCTGTTTTTTACAAGTAATATTGATAATACAAAATAACGGCAGATGATCAGAAATATCGAAAAGAGCAATACCAGACAAAATTTGATGAGTAGGCATGTTTGTATAAATATGATCAATTAATGTTTTTGAGTGATCTGGTATCCGAGTAGGCTTAGTAATAAGTAGAAAAAAATTATTAGCATACAACATATCTAGATACCTTTCAGTAGATTGATGGGTTGTATATTGGAAAAAAGTCAATATTAAAATCACCTAGTAAAATCACCTGATATTTACATTGATTAAGATGCTGCAACAACTCATCAAGCTGCTCTGTGATTTGTCTACATTGCTGTTAACTGGCTTCGCCGTTTGTAAAATTGATCTTTCTTATCCCAATGTACAAATTTTGCAATAATTCTATTCGGCATTTTCTTGGTTGATGGCAGTATATGATCGGTTGAGATGTGGTGCTCGGTTACATCAATTCCTATCATTTCTCCGATCTCAACAACAATTCTCTTTGGATTATCTGCCGGCGAAACCAGCACTCCAGTACTGTTGAACGTTGTCAATCAGTACTTGCTGGTCGTAGATGTCTTCTGCTGTTTGTATTCGTCTTCTAACTTCTTTATCTTCTGAGAAGCTTCTGTGATGTGTTTCTTGGTCATTTGAAGAGATTCTTTGAAATTATCGAAATCGGTTGATAAGTAACCTTGTGATCATTTGATCTCGGCACACTTGTCATTGAGCGCTTTTATTTCATCTAATATTGTCAAAATCAATTTTTAACTCTTTTTTAATACTTGTAATACTAGTTAAGAGTTTGCTTTCCCATATATGTTTAAGGGAAGCAATAGTCAAAGGTTCTACCTTAGGCGTAGGCGACATATTTACGGAGCTCGCAAAAGTATGTCCGTTCTGCTCAACGGTGATTGTTAATTAGAAAACTATAATGTGTTAATATGCAACTGCATTGATCCCCAAGGTGGAGGAGTAGCTGTATATATTAATAATAATCTTCATTTTGATCAATTAAAAAATCTTGAAAGTAATGACGACAATGTTTGTCAAGTAAAGTTCAGTAAATTAAGTAAGGTAATTGGCATAATTTATAGACCACCAAGAAGTGATCCCAAATAACAATAATAATTGTATTACTGATTGAAAAGTCAAACGTTCCAACAGCAACAAATTGGTTCAGTTTCGGCTATATTTGTGGACACAGGCCAATAAATCATTAATTAAAAGATAAGTATTGTATTATTTTACTCTTATTTGGTATAACTATTGGTTTTTGAACAATATCAACTTGTTTAAATGGTGCCTGTCACTGGGCATTCCATTCTGTGTGATGAGAGATGCAATGTAAAATATTTGTCTGCTGTCCAATTTATTACCTTTACTTGGTGGTCATCTTCGACCATATCTTTGTTTGCACCCTTCCAGGAGAAAATGATGACCAACTTCCAGAATTATTCTGCTTTTTAGGTTCTTCATGTTGTTGATGCTGTTATCTTTCTGGCAGACATACAGCTTGAAGATATGTTCACAGTGTTCAATTGTAGTGTAAACAGACTTTGATTTGCAGTGTACACATATGGTTAAATTAACCCATTGACCGCCAGGGCTCTCCTCTTGACAAGTGAAATTGTCTGGTGTTAGACAGAGTAAAATAATAAAGTAGGGTGCAATGTGACTCAATGGGTTAATTAGACAATAGGCTAGTTAACCCATTAAGTGCCAGTGTTCTCCCCTTGATGAGTAAAATTATCTGGTGTTAGACAGAGTAAAATAATAAAGTAGGGTGCATCAGGGCAGAATGCGGCTCAATGGATTAATTTTACTAGGACGGGTGTAATTTGCAGAATGCAGAACGCAACTTCTGTACTTTCGTACGTAAAAGCTGTCCGAAAGTGTAAGAGTTGGGGTTAGGTTCCTAATCTTGTAAAAGCTTAGCAAAAGTGTATAGAAGTTGCATCCTGCATTCTGCAAATTACACCCGCTGAATTTCACAATTTCTTTCTTGGCATCCTTTACAAGGGCCTTATAAGGAACATTTGCCACTTGTAATATACAGTAGAACTGTTGTTAATGGGACATTCAGGCCAATTGTGGAAGTGGTCATGGAGTACTTACAGTTTGTGTAGCTTTACTGTGAATATATATGTGTATTGTATGCCTCGTATGGTCAAATGTTTTCAGTATGTAATTTATTTAAAAAAATACTATATATTTACCCATGCCAGGTGATGTGTAATACAATTATTGCAGTAAGGCTTAATTAATACATTGTTGCAAAAATAAACACTTGTCTGTGAAATAAAATTTCTGACTTATTTTCTTTGTTACTGCTGTAATTTTCATTACTTTTGCACTTGTGAATTGTACAGTTAACTGGCATGATATTTTTTCCTTCTGAAAGAAGATAGCTTTTGTTTTTTACTTTAGAAAATGGGGAGAGTTAAAATTTGTTGAAAGATTTGTTTCTGTTTTTGCACGAAAATACTCATTTTTAGTGATGCATAGCCTACCTAAAAGGTAAAAAATAAATGAAACAATTAGATTGATGTAACTTCAGCCCATATTCGCTGTGTTCTTTTCAAATTCCTCACCGAAAGTCCTGAAAACACAAAAGTTTGCCGATGTTTCTTGTCGGCCTTTTTGATGAACTTGTTTTTCACTGATCAAATAAGTTGAGATAAAAGGACAAAATGTTTCTCTAGTTTGCTAGAGGCATAGAAAAGCTCGACTTTCAAACAGTTGGCTGAAACATTATGGAAGATTTCACATAAAATGATGAACGTTTTTCATATTGAATTTAGTAAATTTCCGCATAGGGGCCTGGATCATACCTACAAGACGAGCGAACTTCAATTTCCACCATCTTGGCTTCAATTTTTGAGCCGGAGTTATTGTTCCAGTATATAGTCTAGTTCACTGCCAAGCACAGGCTTGTACATATTTTCACCTGCTGTAGCGAATGTTTTCCAAAGTTATTGATCCTCTTCTGCCAGCTGCCAAAAAAACTTGGTTGTATGCATCGATCAGTATACAAGGTGAACTAACGCACACACAGCCAGTTGTATTATAACACATGTTTCACTCCGCCTCATGATAAAGCGTGCCACTATACTAAACGCTGCAGACTGAAGTGGCAGTTGAGCGTCTGTGCTTGAATACTTGGGTTTTGCAAATCTTTCAAAGAATTATCAAATTTTACCAAAAGTACATTAATTTACCAAATCTGCAGGCCTTAAATATCGGTCAGTCATGGACATTGTCCGACCCATTCGTGAAATTGTCCGACATAGAGAGGAAGCCACCGGACATTCTGTCCGACCAAAGTGAAACTGAGGTTTATTGTTTGTCCGACCCGAGTGTATTGGTGTCCGACCGAACTGTAGCTTTGTCCAATGTAAATGTAACCTACTCAAGGACTATAGAGGCTCGTATGTTAAATGGAAAATCAGAGAACTATTGAGGATTGTATAAAAAGTGAACTGGAAATGTTGTTTTAACATAGCTAATCAAGCGCGGGACGGCGAGCGAAATGATGAAGTGGAAAACGGGCATAAGTTGTCAAACTCTTACTGTTGTTCTGGCAAAAAAGTTCATTTTGGCTTGGAAATAAATATGAATGACATAAATTATTTAATATGAATGACACAAACAACATTTACCGTTCAGAATTAACACATTGTGCTGATATTCATTATATTTGTGTCATTCAGACTTATTTCCGAGCCAAAACTGTACTGAAGGTCATCGGACATATGTCCGACCCAAACTCAACGTCATTGGACATTTTGTCATTTAAGGCCTGAATCTGGTTACAGTTACAATAACTACATCAATGAAGGGAACCAAATAACTTGTATATCATAAGATAAACACCTCCAACTTCCTTCATGTACTTTAAGAAGTATCTATAGGATGTCTCCTCTAGAATCCTTCTGTTTGTACCAGGTTTGCTAAATGTTGGCTTAAAAAGTTTTGCCAATCTTGGAGAAACTGCAGACTTCCGTAAATGCTATTGCAACTCAGGCTGTCTTTTTATCAACTATAAAAAAACAACAAATGGTGGATTTTCGACCAATGTCAATGGCCACTTATACTGTCGTTTGTAACTAAGCTTAAACAGTCCAATCAGAAACGCAATGAAATCTGATGTCAAACTTGATCTAACTGACATAAACTTTGTATGTTGTAAAAAACGTTATGTCACAAGTTTAAGAAAAACGTTGAGAATGTCATAATTAATACTACAGGGTGTATAAAAAAAAGGTAATCGCGCTATTGTATCCGAATTACTGTGTGTATGAACGAGATTTTAACACATTCGGAAGGATCATGCTTTTAGCTGTTGAATGATATCTTCTTCATGCCAAATAGATAAATCGCATATTTTCACCATTGAGAGTTAGGTCTAAAACCATTGAAAATGAACTCCCTTTGGTAATTAAGTTGATGAATTTCACTTCATTAAACTAAGCACATATTCATAATTATTATTAAGTAGGAATAAATCGTAGCTAAGCTATGATTGTTTTAATTAGGCACAGAGATGAAAATATGCGATTTTGACTAACATTTTTGATCGGCCTCTTACATGCTTATTTTTTCTCCACTTGGTATGAAAAGCATGTCATTCAATAGCTAAAAGCCTGATCTTTCCAAATATGAAAACCAATTGTTCATACACCGAGTGATTCACATATAATAGCGTGCTGAAGTTCGATTACCTTTTTTTTATACACCCTGTACATCATGTACTGATCATGTATCAGGTTAATAAACTTGGACAAAATTGTCAGAAAGGAAAACCCAGATTAGAACTCAGATTTTGCAGAACGCGCCTTACTGCACATATAGGACACTATCGAAATATAGGAAATTGTATTGTGAGACTGGTGGTCTTGAAAATCATCCACAAACACACGTAAGAACTCAGTTAAAGCTATCTTTGAAAATTCTGTCCTTTAAAAACAATTGTTGTTAGCCAATTAAGGATCGGGCTCCTTGAAAGAAATTGAGAAAGAAATAATTGAACATGGCCATAGCAATAGCCTTTCGATATCCACAATTTATATTTATTTATATTTCATTGTGCTGCTTCTAAATAAATCTGCATACTTGAGTAAATCTTTGTCAATGGACATTAAAAATTCCTCAATTGTTTGGTGACTAGTGAAATAAACAATGTTTGTGAAAATATAGAACTTGCTCACATGTGTACATAGAACCTACAAAGTTTGTGTCAATTAGATAAAGATTGACATCAGATTTTATTGCGTTTCTTATTGGACCGTTTAAGCTTAGTTGCAAACGACAGTATATCTACACAAAATATCATAACAATTTTTACCACTGCATGTGTTGTTACTAAGGCATGCACATGGTTGGCGAATTTGTATCGGTCGCTACAATTATACAATTTAAGTCCACCCAACCCACTTGAATGTTTTTCTATTTTTTATTAAATACTGTAAATATTGTAACCCAGGCTGCTCTTTCCCCATTCCGTTAGCATGGTCTCAAACTCATCAAAGCTACATTAGTTCTGAACAGCACAAACATATCTATCACTACATATTATTACAAACCGACATTAAGCCGAAAGTGGCCATTCCCTCCAAGAATTGGGCTTCATATGGTTTTCTCTCAGTACTTTTAACTAAATACAGTGGCGTAGCTAGCGAAATTCGACAGGTCCTGCTCTAAAACTCACACATTCTAGGGGGGTTCGGGGGCATGCTCCCCCGGAAAATTTTTAATTTTAGAAGTCTGGAATGGCCATTTCCTGCGATTTCACGGCAAAATACTCCAAAGGCAGCATAAAAAAATTAGATACTTTTCTAGAAAAAAATTTGTCACTTTTTAAAATCGTATTTCCATATTTATCATATTTCACTATATATTTTTCAACTGAAAAATTTAGCTAAATATAGTCAAGTCGGTGTAAAAGGAAAATATCATGTTTTCAATACACGTCTGTAATATGATCTTTCACTTGGTCAACGTGCAATTGCGTAACTGAACAATTGTTGTAGCGCCTGTTGAATATACAACACTACAATGACTACATATACGGCTAGCATTCGTTAAAAAATTACTACGTTTGTTAGTAATGTTTAATAAACTTTAAACGGAGTGGTATCAACTACGGACCACTACGCTTGGCACTCTGATTGTATAATTCAGTACGCTATGCCTATGGCTATGGTATTTAAATATAATAAAATTGCCGTAGCGTTTAAAGTAAATATAGTGTATTAAAATGCGGCCAAATATCTACATAAATAACATAAACTTTGTAAATCTAAATGGTAGCTATATCATTTTTAAACTCCATATAAGCGCTCGTGTTTCATGCCTCGTTTCATGCAATAGCAGCAATGCATAAAGCAGATGAACTGGCAAATATAAATACGTTCATACTTTATAGACTTTATATCAAAATACGACAGAAAATACACGATCGAGTCTGTTGACATGCATTTCGTGAGCTAAAATATCTTAGCAGAAGCCAGAAATTATATCCAAATCACAATGGGCTTTCACGCTGGTTGATTTCCATATTCATCACTTGAGTAATCTTGACAGAGTTAGTAAAAAGTGGGTTTAATCACACGGAAAGCTCGCAAGTAAAGACAATAAAAGGCCAAGTCCTGCCATTTCGAGAGAGCAGGACTTCGCATTTCTAAACAGCCGGTTTGAGCATGCGCAGATCTAATTATCCAATCAGAAAGCAAGATTTCTTGTATGAATTTACTATGAAATATACTAGCAAGTCCTGCCATTTGAAAATGGCAGGACTGAAACACGAGCGCGTGTAAATCAATATATTGCCCGGAAATGAGCTTTTATAGAGTTGCAGTTGCAAGGTAACAGACACGGCAAGCTGTAAAATTGCGTAAATGTAATAGAATACGGAAAACTTTTAAAAAATAATAACGAAAAAGACGAGAAAATTATACAAAATAACAGTATGATAATAATATATTTTTAAAGCTTCAAGGTAAATAAAGTAATGTTTTACTAAGGAAATTTGGGGAAATTTTTAGTCCTGCTGGGCAGGACAAGCAGGACCGCTAGCTACGCCACTGACTAAATATATTATTGTTGATCACTCTGACTCTGTTGTGCATGTCTATGTTGACCTAAGAAGAATAGTGTGCTTGGTACCTTATACATAAATAAAAGAACTAATCTGTTCGTTTTTGGTTACAGTCTACTTCAAGGAAGGGCCACTACCTTGTTTTCTATCCGAAAAACAACTTCAAGCATTATTTGTTAAAGTAGGCTAATTTATATAACAGGTTTGCTTGATGTTAGCTTATTTTACAATTAATTATTTACATAATATTATGTGCTCACACCCTACAGAAAACTACACCAAAATAGCATCATCAACCGCAAATACGCAACCCACAATCAAACCAATATAAAAATAATAGGCAGTCACATGTCCTCCTCTATCTTTCAAGTTTGTTGCACATGTCACAAAAACATTCCGCCATAACACAATGCATATTAGTCTCCTTGTTTAGGAAATACAAAGCCCCTGTTCACTAGTGTGCACATAGGTAGAAAATAGACTTGAAACTTTGATAATATCGATCAATGTTTTGTTTATGCCATCTTGAAATCTCACGTTTTTCCATGGCAACAATATGGCGACTGAAACAAGTTGGTCACTCGAGCATTTAAAATTGAATTAATGTTGTATTCATTTTGAGGATGCTTTACAATCAATTCTAAAGGTCACAGAGAAGCATCTGAAGAGATGTGTTGCTTGTCGTGAGAAATTGGCAAAGCTCAAGGACCAGAAATCTGTAACAATTCGGACTTGTTTACTAGCGAAGATGGGCGATTCCATTTAATGTACACACACAACCTCTTTGGATTAATTTTTGGGACCGCACAGAAAGTCGTTTCTGTGCGGTTAGGCCTGTTGGCATACTTCGATCTTCTTAATTGTTCTGAGGGGTAAGGGAAAATTTACAAATATCTGAAGGTATTTTGTGTCAGCACTTTTATCTTTTTTTTTTTCTTGGGGGTTAAAACTTTATTGATCTTATCGATGGGCGAGGGGGTGGATATTAAATGGAATAGCCCAATGTAGAAAGGCATTTCTCACACTCTAACTGCTGTGGGGAACTCGCGCAGTGGCATAACTGAAAGGGGTTCGGGGGCTACCACTCCTGCCCCGCCCCCCGCAAAACTCATCATAAACTTTTTGCTAGTATATTGGGCAAATTGGTCCGAGCCTCAGTTAAATAGGGTCAGAAAATTTACAACAGGTGGCCCCAAAAGCAGCAATTGGTCAAATTGTGAAATTTGGACCCCCTTTTTTGTTAGATATAGATAGGGAAAATTTTTTGTTATTTTTCAGGAATATTGCTTTGAAAAATTTTCTTCCCATGAGGCAGTGAAAACTTGATTGGCTGTGAAGTTGCAGACTGACCCACCAAAGAAGCTTTTGCACCGATAAATTGACAGTGATGGTCCCCCAAATAGTTTCATGAAGGCTAGATCACTGAATCACGCAAATGTTTTGCCTCCAGTGTATAATATGCGACAAAAAATCCGATTTGTTTGTCATGGTATGCCTTACATTGTAATTATGTGGTATATTTATCATTAAATGAAATCATTATACAGTAGCTAGTAAATAGTACAGGTATCACGTAGCAAAATAATCACAATAATATTTGTTCCAAAATTATTACATGTGAAGAATAACCCTTGTTGTGTGTGAGACTTTAGATTGCACAAACCTGCCACAAAAAAAGGATGACAGGATCTCATTAAAAATTGTGGAAAAGATTGTGTTGCCATTGAGGTTAAGTACCATAAGAAGTGATACAAGAATTATGCTAACTTTTTGTATCGACAGGATAAGACGCTGTGTGAAACAACTTCAATGCTTTTGTACAACATGGGATATGATGATAATCACAGTGCGACACAGTCCACATTGAATGAGCTACAAATTCTGTATCATGCTTCTATATTGCTTAAGAAAAAGCTAGCCACTGTGAAAGGGCTTAAGGTCCCTTGGCTACCTGTAGCTGAATAAATAACTTTACTATGAATTTATTGTAAAGAAGTTATTTTGTAGAGTGGAATTAATAGCGGATTTTCGATGTTCAGTGATATTGCCTGTTGAGTAATGTGCCTGTTGAGTAATAATAAGCTTGTAAGGAGTCATGGCTTGCTTGTGTGCAGGGTGCATTGGTAAAATTTGGCCATATAATATCAGAACTACTCCAAACGAACTGTCTGATCATGATAAAATTAGTCTTGCAACATGTGCAACAGATTTCATTTTCTAGGTTTCTTTCAAAGGCTTTAGATGATGGGTAAACAATTGAATTTTTTAGTTGCATGTTAGTTTTCTGACTTGCATAACTGCTTTAATTCACACACTGTGGTGCACAAATTAAGGTACTAGTGCAAAATAAGCCCTTCCCCTGCATACACTCTGTCAATACAAGCTTTACTGGAGAACATTTTAAAAAACTTTTGAACATATGATATCTTGGTAACAAATGACTTTTACTTTTCAGAACTATAGAATGACATTGCCAGAATATAGTTGGCCCTCTTTTATTATTTGATTTGGCATGCTCCTCTACTGCTCTTTATGAAAAAAATAATTAGCCTCCCGACATGTGCAACGAAAATCACTTTCTAGCCTTATTTTCAGCCTACATGTGACGGCCTATAACAATATGATATAATACAATAACTCATACCAAAAACAATGCCACCTCCAATGTAAAATTGATTTGTTTACGCAGTTACATTATCGTGAAAAAAATATCTGCTTTCACCATCTTCCTTGTTTTCGGCGCACAAATTGTCTTTTATGCACCTCAGATTTCGGATAAAAATTATCTTCATGGTCCTCCAAAATCGCAAGCATTTTCTCCAGTGAACGTTACCTCTAACGGAAAACTCCTGTCACAGGTACCGGTTCCATGTTCCGAAAAGATTTTATCCATGGCATCTTCATATATATTAAGATAGGAGACGAATATCTCTGTTGTTCATCCTTCTATAAATGTTGATTCGTCCACTGGGTTGAGTTGACGTCCAAACATGAACTTCCCTGTGAATGTGAGTATCGTGACTGGATTGTTACAATCACCTCTGAAAAAAGCATTGATTTCGTTATAAGGGCAAGACAGTTGAGAATTAAGAGAGATGAGAATTAAGAGATTTTATATCCGTGAATATGAAACCAATCACATTAATTTAGTCAAAACCAAGTGTTTTCGCATGAAATTCCATTAACAAAGGGCCCTTTACATTTATTATTATTAAAGTCTTTATTGTCTAGAGTTACAACAGACGTGCAACTTTACAAATGTCAAATTCCTAAGTATTACAGTTAAAAAATTGATATATCCTAATTAATTATATGAAAGTTAAAAATAGTTAAATAGACACCCATTTATGAAGGATCATTTAATCGTTCCGTTTTAATTTGAGGTAAAATAAAGTTATGTTCCCTTTGTCTTAAAATCCTTTGTTTACACACAGGAAGCAATTCATGTAGGGCATGTTCTGGATTCGATACGATTTTGCTAAATAATTTTCTGTCTTTCTCCTCGATCACTTCAGATATCTTAATACTCTTTGTCGTATATCCATAACGATAAGCCCGCCGGAAAAACTTGTCTATACGATCCAAATATTTCTTTTGGAGTGCAGAGCCCCACACTTCAATGCAATAGTAAAAGAGTGACATGATTAGCGAATCGAATAATTTGCTTAGCTGATCTGCAGAGTAACCATAGCATCTACACACTCTCAATATGTACATACGCCCACTAGCCTTCGACAGAAGATCATCGATATGAAGATCCCAGCAACATGGATTTTCCTGAAATGTGACACCTAATAATTTCAACCAGCTCTTTCGTTCAATGCCTACAATCGGTGCCGGTAACGGTTTCATAGACCCACCGTGCACAACCATTTCCCACGTTTTAGAAAGATTTAATGTCATTTGATTTGCTTCCGACCAATTCTGAATGCTTTCCACCTCAGCCTCAGCAGAATCCGATCCTGATTTTACTGGAGCACTTGTCGTTATATCGTCAGCAAATTTGACCAAAGGTTGTTTTGCGCATCCATGGGTTTTATATCATTAACCATCAACGAAAATAGAAAGGGACCCAAAACCGTACCCTGCGGTACGCCTTTGTTAACATCAACATAAACAGTTTCTATGCCATCAACAACAACTCTTTGTTTTCTGTTGGCCAGAAAACTAATAATCCAGTTTAAAGTATACGGGTTAATTTCGAGTGTTTTAAAATAATGTGATGAGATACCGAGTCAAACGCTTTCTTATAGTCAAATGATATTACCCTAACAGAGTCTGCACCTTCATCCAGCCACTTGAGCCAATGATGCAAACACATAATCAGAGCATCGGTAGTATTTGTTCCCTCTTTACAAGCAAATTGATCTCATCCGATCACGGATTTGAATGCAGACGCAATCCCCTGTTTATAAACTACCCTTTCAAATAATCTTATAATGATGTTTGTGAGCGATATAGGCCTCAACCGATTACACTCTGTCAAAGGAGATTCTTTGGGTAAAGGGTTCACATTAGCGAGCTTCCACATCAGAGGGACACATTGTTGTTCTATTGAGAGATTGAACAATTTGGTAATTATGGGCGCTAAAAGTTGTGCAAAGTCTTTCCATAACCAATATGGAAGCCCATCAGGACCTGGCGCTGTTCGTTTTAGTTTCGTCAAAAAACTTATAACAGTAGGCTCATCAATGGTAGGAACTCGAGTGCCTACAGGAAATGGTATGAATTGGGGGGATATGTAATTCGCATCCGTGTTTACATTTTGAAAGTACGAGTTAATATGTTGTGGATCGATGACTGAGCTAATATTGCTGTTCTTGCTTTTTCTGCCAGTAATTCTATTCACAGTATCCCACCACTTTTTGGATCCAAAACTATTTTTTCTATTCTCATCATCAACGGAATGGACAAGATTTCCACGTGTTAGCTCATCAATACGTTTTTGAAGATCATTGTTGACTCCCTTCGCTGTATTCTTATTCCTTATCTTACATAAGTGTTTGATCAAAGGAGACATATATGGTGGGTCACGTGTTGACATTTTTACTTTAATTAACGGGAAACAGTCATTAAACATGTTAGTGATAGTGTCATTTAATAGAGTAACTGTATCATTGACATTATTGCAATTATGAATGTGACTCCAATCACATGTCTCCAATTTCCTCATCATACTGAACTTCCGATGAGCTCTTACGTCTCTAAAGTAGACATCCTTTCTTTCGGGTTTTATAGCATGTCGCGGAGAAACCATGACAACCAAATGGTCAGATCTTACTAGACCTTTAAAAACCTTTGACTTTTCCCAAAGATGTGGACAGTTGGTTAAAAATACATCCAAAATTTTATGATTTCGGGTAGGCTTCTTGACTAATTGTTCCAAGTTGTGCTGACTGATAAGGTCTTTTGTTTTGAATTGATTAATGTCTCCTGCTAAAATTATTCTTGCATTGGGCTCAGGATAAAGAATCTGTTCTATAGTTTCAGACAAATAATTTAGTAACTCAGTCTCAGGATAAATGGGGTCAGGTGGGTGATATACTGAAGCTACGTAGTATTTAGTATTAAGTGTTACAATTTCACACCAAACACACTCAAGGTTGTTGTCAAAATCAAGATTTTTAACTTTCCAGTCGTCTCTACACAGAATAGCCACTCCACCCCCCGACCGCGAGTCACACCGGTCTTTTCTGACAAAAACGTAATTGCGGAGACACACCAGGCTTGACGGAATTTTGTCGTTTAACCATGTCTCAGTAACGAAACAACTGTTTTTGCCTATTAAATATCTATTCGCTTAATAGGCTTTCTTCCAGTTGAAACGAAATCAGTTCAAATCATACAGTTCGCTTTTGAAACTAATCTTGCTTTTAAAGCAACAAATCTTAGCTCATTTCATCCTGGCATGCAGATGAGATAAATGAGATAATGACCGGAAATTGCACAGAAAAATGGTCATGTCGCGGAGCACTTATTGCATAACATTGTGGGCTCAGTGAAGAATTATCCCGCGCTTATTGTTTTGCTTTACTTTACTTGTTTGTGGCCCAAATTGTTAAATAGTTATTAATTATGCCTGAGTCTTTAACCTTTTCTTAATCTCGAAATCCTATCAATAAATAAAAAATTTTGCTGACTATATCTTGAAATAATTCGAAGTTTTCCTCAATAATATTCAGTACACGTACATATTCAGTACATTCTACGCACGTTTACGCACTTTTGAGTAACAATTGAATGGGGCAAATCTAGGATCCAAGGAACGTCATCACTTTTTCCAGGGCTGGAACGAGCTATCTACTAGAGTCGCGCGCGTATTCAATCGCGCTGACACGTCGACAAGGTGAAATATAGTATATCGTCCCGCGCGGACAACGCGACCATAATGAAACACAGCCTTAACGAACTCAGGTATATTAATAATTAAAAACATATGTACCTATACCTATCTGCATGGTAATAAAGTAAACTATATAAACATGTCTTACCAGAAGGGTGGCAGTTTGGGTCATTGTGAAATACACGTTCCATTAAGAAACCATGACCACTGAGAGTTGATTGAGGGAGATCAAGGAAAAGCTATAAAAAAGAGAATATTTTAAAACTACTGTATAGGCATGATGGCAACCGATAATTTCGTGGCGGTAACAAAGTTGTGTTAAAAACGTAACCAATCCAAATATACCGGTCGGACAATCATCTTGGATAATCTGGACGGATATTTCTATAGTATATCCGCCATAACCGGTCTCCGTCTGAATAACAACTTACCGTAGAATCCAAAAAGTAGCTGGGCCCCTCTTACGTCCGGTTACTAAACACAATAGTTACCAAACAATTATATAACAAACGTACTTGCAGGGAGGTGAGTCCGGGATTGGACGCACCGAGGGTGGCTGGAAGTTTCCCGAACTTACCGAGCGAAGCGAGGTGAGTTCGGGAAACTTCCAGCCACCCGATGTGCGTCCAATCCCGGACTAACCGAACCTGCAAGTACGTTTGGTTTTTATCCCATACACCGAGCCATACACACATGGTAGGTGAGCTCGACGACAAACTCACCTGCTCTAAACCAATCAGAAAGCCGCTTTTAACACAGGTATGGGATAAATAAAGTAACGCCATCGTGCGTTCCAGCTTCTTTCGGAGGGGCGCTACATTCAGGATTCCACAGTAACAGCTTGCAGCCTTGGATTTGGCGGCCGAAGATTGACCCTGGATCTATGATCTATCCATGCATGCTAAATGTCTGAAATGCAAACAGACGCCACGCCTAATATTACTAACCTGTTTTGACTGCACTTTAAAATATTAAATTACCTTTGCACGACTTATCCTGTCTTCGGTATCAACATTAAGAAACAAATACCATCGACCTAGCGTGCCTTTGAGCTGTTGATCAGCTGCACGAGGTGTGACTTTCACTCGGGTTTTCGCCTTCATGGACGTTTCAAAAATGACCTTGTTATACTTGTTCTTTATTGTAATATCATATACATCATCACACTGATTTTGTTTGGTCAGTGTAAATAATAAGTTTTCGTCCGTGTCAATCAATCGTCGACTAGAAGTCCTACTTTTTCCCACAGATGAATCTGAAATAACATAAAACTTTCACTCTATGGAAATACTGATGAACCTGGACTTAACGCAGGATAAGTAACACAGAGGGCCCCACTATGAGTTATGATTGAAATAATATTGTATTTATTTTTAAAAACCTACTTGAATCCCTTGATAATCGATTATTTCTTCTCTCGAAGTTCTGTAAACATTTCGAACTGCTTGGAGTCATTATACTATCACTCTGCATGACGTTTCACGAAGTATAGATGATCGCTGACAAGTAAGAACGCGGGCGCGAAAAGACGAAGGCGGCGAAAGAAGGTAGAATTAAACTAAAGGGTTGAAACTTCGACTAGATGACATTTCTAAATGCCTTAAAATTCACAATTTATTTGTGTTTTCGAATATTTTTTTTGCAGATTCTACGTCTTTTTGGGCATATCTTCACAACTGATGTAGTAGATTCAATAAACGATTGATTTTTCGCATGTTTTTACATGAAACACTCGAAGGGTTTTTTCGCACAATGTGTTCCATAAGTAGGTTGTTCTCGTGACGTCAAGTATAATGAGTCGGAGCCGTTTAAAAGGTTTTCAGAACTTCGAGAGAAGAAATAATGGATGATCAAGGGATTCAAGTACGTTTTTAAAAATAAATACAATATTTTTTCAATCCTAACTCACATTGGGGCCCCGTGTGAAATTGCCGGAGAACAACCTAGTTATGGAACACATCAAACGATGACCCGCCGAAGTTTCAACCCTTTAGTTTAATTCTCCCTTCTTTCGCCGCCTTCGTCTTTTCGCGCCCGCGTTCTTACTTGTCAGCGATCATCTATACTTCGTGAAACGTCATGTAGAGTGATAGTATAATGACTCCAAGCAGTTCGAAATGTTTACAGAACTTCGAGAGAAGAAATAATCGATTATCAAGGGATTCAAGTAGGTTTTTAAAAATAAATACAATATTATTTCAATCATAACTCATAGTGGGGCCCCCTGTGTAAGTAAACGATAAAAACATGCACACTTATTAAATATTAACCTTACTAACGCGATAATGCAGAATATGAATAATATTCTTCACTTGTCAGGGCCTATACAGTAGATCTCTTCTCGCAACTCGGTAAGCAATATCGTTATAAACATTCTCGCAACATTTTATCCTCATTTCACAGAACGTTTCCAACCGGGCCAATATAAGGAGCCCGTTACGGTCGAAGCCTAATTTTCTACTGTGCATGCATTTTGAAGTTATGAATTTTGCGCACGGGCACTAAAAAACGTTAATGAGACCTAGGCCTGGCTAAAAATCACAGACATGATTTATTCTACTTTCTACTGATTTGCATATCACGTTAAAATATGGCTTCAAAAATAAACATTTACATATATTAGTAATAAATAACATTAGCATATACTCGGGAGATGGATAGTGCTTTTCACACAATTTGATTGGTTACTCAGCTCAGGATATCCTTGCACTATTCATCTCCGGACAAAAACAAGATGGTTTCCCGTTTCGTTCCGGTTATAGACGAGCGAATTTTTGTACTATACGAAGCTGTGTTTTCGCCAAACACGAAGAAAGCCACAAAGTGTTGTTTAGCAATTGTAAAGCTATTTTCAATAAATAAAATTACTAAAGGCGTGTAAAAACTGTTCTCAACCACTGCTGGCCGCTAGGAGCTGCTGCAGCCATTCTGCCGCACGCTTGACTTATATTTAATTGAACATTAACAGCTAACACAGCAAATCATACACAACTATATGGCACCTAATGTAATTCGACACAGAAAATTTACCAAAAAGTTCCGTTATTAAAATCCACTACACTAACAGGCTATAAATTGTCTTATACTAACGGGGGATTGGGTGGGTACTTTAGTCAAGCTTGTGGAAGTAACAACAACATGTACTGGCTTAACCTGCACCACCCGTTTACACCCGATTCACAATCGGGCTCCCAGCCTTGTGTTGTGAGAAAACATTTTCTGCTTCTTTCATACAGTATCTCTGCCAGCAGAAAATAACAATTTTGTTTAAAAACTATTATGGAAGCTGAAATACAAATTGTTTTAAAATTATTTTCGTTGTTTTTTGGTCATTTTTGTTTTGCTTAATATTCTAGTGAATAATTGTTAATTATTCTATCCTGCAAATCGCATGCAAAGTCTCCGACCAAAGGACGTCATTTGCAAATAGTTGCAAAACAGAATCTGTGGACGCATTTAGTTTAATATTAGCCTGGCTAAAATTACTGCCCATTATGAATTTTAATATATTCCAAGTGCGGTATTTTCCCCGAGGTTGCTTGCACCTCCGGGAAAAGGAAAGCATTGGGGAACATTTTCAAAATCCATAGAATGGAAATTGTATGGACCTTTTTTGGAAATAGAATGGACTTTTGATTATCCATAATAATTGTATATTTCCATACTATGGATATAGTATCGAAATAGTATGGATATACAATGGATTTAGTGGTGCAATTTCAATGTATGGATTTCACATTTTTTCCCAGTGGAAGTCTAAAATTCATCAATGATCGTGGGCGCATGGCATTGTTTCATGGTGTCATGGGTGGACCATTGAACTACAAATAAACTGGAAGACTAAGTCAGGGAGGGAGTTGATGCCGTGCTTGAAGCTTGTTTTGTAGGTAGACCCAGTCCTTTCAAATTATGCACATTTTTTGATTAGATAAATCGTGCCCCAAAACACTAGTTATACCACCGAATTTAATTTATATCAGTAGTATGATAAACGAATTTAATATTCGCAAAGCAAACAAATCACGAATTAGCAAAAAAAAAAACACGAAAAAACACGACCATAAGCATAAACGGTCAGAAAAACCGCGCGTTTTAGGTTGCTTTTTCTGAGTTTTTGAAGGTTTAAGATAAAACTAAGACGTCATACCTCAGGAATTATTTAAACCCATGTAAAATACATCTGTATGCGAAGTTTCAAGAAGATCGAACGTTTTAGGGTCGAAAAAAAAAGCATTTAAAAATTGACAAAAATATTGCCATATTCAAAGTGCTCATAGTGGCCAACAAGAAAAGGACGACGAAAATAACATCACTTGAAAAACGCCAATTTGTTAATATGTTTTAGAAGGAAAAAAAACGTTTTAGAAGGAAAAAAATAATGAATAAAAGTTTAGGATCAATACCAATACCTGGAGTTTAGTACAACATAAGTTTTGGCACTGTCAAAATGTTTTATAGTATTTTTTTTTAGTTGAAGAGCGAGGTTTCCTTCGGTACGTCCAAACCTTCGTCATTTTTTCAAAATACAAAAGCCAAACTCCTCACTTTTTGCTGCAGAGAGATGTAAAACAGTCGGAACTAATCGAAAAACCTGGTTTGAATCCGAATCATTGTAGTATTCCCATGGAAAAAGTGTTTTTCTTGGAAATTCTTGCTCGAAAACAAACTTTTGACCGAATTTTTTTCGCTCCTCGAAACTCTCCTTATTCCTTTTGAAAGCTGATTTTCCCGCGCGCCGGCTTCAACGAATCACAGACTTTCATCATAGGAGTTAGCCTTCCAGTTATTTATAGTTCAATGGGGTGGACCTCCAACTGATCTAAAAAATATGGCGAATTTCAGGAGTGTATGAATACACATGTACATTGCCATCCAAAAAGTTACAGACTCTATGTATACGTTGTACCTAATTAGCCTCTTCCCAAAAGAGATCACAGTGCATTCTGGGATCGTTCGGAGGGACAAAATATATGGAGACAGGCGTCAAATATGTGAAAAAGTAGAAGTATCTACTATTAAATATCAACTTTTTAGACGACCAAAAATGAAGTATCTCCTTTTTACATTAAACATTTAATTTAAATGTGTGCTGCCATATTTCTTGTCCCTCCAACAAGGGATTCGCGCGACTAGACCCAGGATTTTGGAAAATGGCTCATAGAACATTTCAACGATGCATATACTGGACAACGATGGACTAAATTGAATGAAAGGCGAACTACAAAATGTTAAAAGACAGGCAACATAAACATTGAAAAAAAACGCACCTTGCAAGCAATCTTTGCTGAGGTTATAGTATTTTACAATTATTTCACTGTCATTTAACTTTACCTTAAAAAACCAAAAGGTGAATAAGTGGTTATAATAAATATGGATCCTCTATAATCATAATATCAGCAAACTATGTCTGTCAGCTTAACAAAATTTTGTTACATACTTGCCGAGTGATCTGTCAGTCAAATCCCGACCCAAAAATTATCAAAACGCAACACAACAAAAAAAGTGTAAATCGTGCACCTGATCTTCGAAGAAGCATTCTCGGCAAATTGTTTTTGTTGCTGTGACAACATGCACTCAAACACGAAATGTTAAATAGTAAGAAAATCCTTAAAATTTACATAGTTTTTAACAGATCCACAACCTTTAGAGAACCAATGCCGTTGTAAGGCCTGTCAGAGTGTCACTATGACTGACATCTTTATACAAATTTGACCGGTTATATTAAAAATTTGGAAAGGTCATTGACCGGTGACAGGCCGTTATTTTCAGCCTTGTCTCATAATAAAGCCTAACGAGGGTAAAGATAAATCCATTTTCATTTGCCTCGACTCTGATTACTTTGACTTCGTTTATCACGAAAACCTTATATAGCCATTAAACGTTTAACCGTTATTTTGAGTCATGTCTTATGAGTTATGATAAAGCCTAAAGGTAAATTCATTTGCATTAGCCGGGATCCTGCAATATTGACGGTTAAAAGCTTAACATATAGGGGGTGGACAAAAAAAGTACCTCCCCCCATAAAAAATGGTACAGGTATATCCTGTTCTTTACCACAATAAATAAAGGAAGTCTTAACAATATTTATGTTTTTGAACTTATACTTGTTTAGTTTTGTTGTGTGAATAAAATTTGTGATTTCAAGTCAAGGATTAGAAAAATAGATACGTTTACAAAGTTTTTACTCAAAATTAAAGATGGCGGATTTGAATCAGGAATGTGCCAAAATTATCAAATTATTCTCGCCACAATGTTCTGATATTCCTAACTTAGTCACAAATTAAAGTGGAATGGCATAAAGCTCCAATAGTTAATGTAATTCATGTGTGCAGTTGTATCGTCAGGGTACTGAATGGCTAGAATGTAGTACAGTAAATCAAGTATTTTTATAATAACAAAGGTGTGCCGCCAAGCTACTGTTACTAAGTTATGAAATACTGCATGGTAAAGCTATATCGCAATCTTTCAATAAACCGTTACCACACAATTTGATGCAAAACACTGTCTTTTCTTGGCTTCCAGGGTTGTAAGTCAACGGTCAAGATAAGTTTGAACTGACTGATGTGATGCAGCAAACATTTGTCAGTTTTCACACGTGTATGTGATAGAATGTTTGGACAGATTCGCACATCAGACTCAATCTGTTCAAACGTTCTTATCACATACACGTGTGAAAACTGACAAATGTTTGCTGCATCACATCAGTCAGTTCCTCCCGATTCATTCAAACCTTTGGGCAGTTCATTTCTGGATGAATGATGCAAAGTAAAACCGCATGATATAGATATCATCCAACGATATACGTACATTTCTGATTCAAATCCGCCATTTTTAATTTTGAGTAAAAACTCTGTAAACGTATCTATTTTTCTAATCCTTGACTTGAAATCACAAATTTTATTCACACACACACAAAACTAAATAAGTAAGTTCAAAAACATAACTTTTGTTAGGACTTTCTTTACTTATTGTGGCAGAAGAACAGGATATACCATTTTTTATGCGAGCTACTTTTTTTGTCCACCCTCTGTAATTTATATGTAAACACGCAGGGTGCGGTAATTCGCATACCAACGCACCTTGTGTAAGTTATACATACAGTACAATTACTTACATTCACATGCACGTTATCTTTATATCTGCCCTTGGGATGGTCATGCATCTCAAGAGTAACACTATATGGCTCTTTTGGATCTGTTATAATAAAATGTGAAATTATTAAAAAGAGTAACAGTCATAATAAAAGTGGTCATAATAACATCCACTGCTTCATTATTACATGTACAGTACATAGAATAGTATATTAACATGTACTGTATATACAGGGTTTCACAAAAAAACGGAACTCATCTAAATTAATTATGTATTCGTTGCAATAGAGTAAGGGCAAGGAGAAAAACACTTTGCATTGATTATAGGCATGCTTCAGGAAATATACCATCACAGATGACAGAACTCTGGGTAGGGCTCCCTGTACATGTGCAACTATAACACTAATAGGCCGTAGGATGAGCATCCAAAAGATGCTTAGAAAACGGATTCCGTTGCACCCCTCGTGTAACTACGTAATTTTCACATGAATAAATAGATAAAAACTTACTTTATCAAAATCCGTTGCTCCCAAGCGAAACAGGTGCACAATTGGGAGAAAAATCCCTCCAAAGTTTGATATTTTCGCGCTTCGAAATATTCGAACCGCCATTGTTTTGATAGCAAATACGCATGCGCAACTCACCCAAACTCGCACTGCGCACGCGCACAACCAACGCACATGCCAACCTCGTACCCAGGGCTAGTCGCGAATTGAAGGCGGCGACACCTTCAATTCGCGACTAGCCCTGGGTACGAGGTTGCGCACATGCTTCGAAGTGGAAACACGCTCAGTTATGCAAATAAACATGGCTGAAGATATTTATAAAACTCGAATATCCTCATGTTTTATGCATTTTGATGGCGTTACGGAGCAGCAACTTTGCAAAGTTACACGCCAAAGGCTTAAGAAATTTCTTGAGTGCAGGTCAAAATGGGCCAAACTTAAATGTCAACAAGCTGAAATAGCTAAGAAATCGTACGAGAACATCGATGACGGATCTGTCAATTCATACATGGAGAAGAATCCTGATACCATTAACTTAGAATGGAACCATCATCAGGTAAGGTTTATCATCATCATTATCATCATCAGGTTTGGTTTTAAAATATATTGAATTGTGATCAATTAAGTTTACTTAAGGTAAAGTAGTTTCCATGCTACAAACATCCAACCTTGTTTTTATTTTGTTTCACACCAGGCAACTAAGAAGAGAAGAACTCCACTCATGTTGGCAGAAACAATTGATGCTGGTCTTCTACGTACAGCTGCCGAGAGAAAGAATGATCAACAGATACTCATGCAAATCCAGGGGAAAGACTGTGTAGCTCTGGAAATCCGCTATCACAAAGTTTGCTACTGCAATTTATATACAATATTTCTCACCAGAGAGACGAAGAAGCAACGAGAGCATCAGTGTACGAGAAGTCTTATGATGTATTCTGTAAAAAAGTGATTGAGATGGAGGTCATCGGAAATAAGCAAATAAATTATATGAAAGATTTGCTGGAGAAATTTGTTATCATTGCTTATAAGGACACTGAGAATGTGGATGCATCTAAATATAGAGCTTTTAAACTCAAGCAATGAATGATGAAAAGTTATCCCCAACTTGTGTTCTGTGTACCGAAAATGAGAAATGTTAGTGAAATTGTATATGTGGAAAATTTGGATTCTTCTGAATTGGTTGAGGAACATATGTCAATTAAGGGCCTAGGCCTGTTTATATGGAAGTCTGGCTGGCCCGCTTAGTGAGACAGCCCGGTAAGCGGGATGAATTTCTCTTGTGTTTATGAGGAACTTTCATCCCGCTTGCCGGGACGATTTTGTTACATTGTATTGTTTTGACAGTTGTTAAAATTAAAATGGGGCAGTATCTTTGAACTTTCATCCCGGCAACCAGGATAGCCCGCTTGTAAATGTTTATATGGAGAAATTTCAATCCCGGTAAGCGAGATCTAGCCTCTTTCAAATGAGATCTCGGCAACCGGGCCAGCCCGCTTGTCCATATAAACGCACAATAATTTTTACTATAAAAATAACTACACAGCAAGATCTTGCTTACCAGGCTGTCTCGCTTATCAGGCCGGCTTCCATATAAACAGGCCCTAAGTCTGAAAACAATGATGAAGATTGAAGAGAGCTGTACCATTGATTATGATGATGTGAATTCCAACACAGAAACTGAGGGAAATTCTAAAGTCAATAAGTTACAAATTCTATACAATGTTGCATTGATTCTTCACCAAAAGGTGCAAGAAATACCAAAACTGAATCTTCCTTGGCCATCATTGGCATCTGATTTGACAAGGGATAATATTTCAAATTTGACTATGAGGTCAGGACTAGACTAGATTTCAAGTCCACACAATTTGATGACGTCCAAGGCGAAGCAGAGGACTGGATCAAAATGTGAGGACTTGAAATCTAGTCCAGTCCGAATTGGAGGATTTGAAATGACATCCATATATGAATAAATCACTACTTAATTAATTTTGATCCAGTTCAAGGACTGAATTAATTTTAATCCAGTTCTAGGACACTACAGGATCAATATACTTCATAAGGGATCTAGTATTATCATGTGAGCAAAATAAAGCAATATGGTTGGCTAATTTGCTCATGAATTATTAATGATTTGAGGTGAACAATGGTGGTAATGCACATAGATATTATCAGTGGAGTAGATCAGTATTTATTTACTTAGTCGATATTCTCAATCGGATCCACAGTATTTATATTATCAACACATATATCCCTCTCATGGACAGGGTAACAGTATGGTCATGTCTGGGAAGCTAAAATGCACCCTGGTGGAGGAGCTGAAATGCACAGCAGTATTAAATCTATAAGAAAAAGTCAACTAGTGTGGACAAGAAAAACCAGGATGTATCGTTCGTTATTCTAGATAGTGGCTAAATACCAACTTATGTCACAATATAAATATAATACATGTAATAGTTCAAATACGAGAAGTAGAACTTTACCAGACAAAAGCCAGGACAGCTTATTGCAGAATACATGCAATCTCGTTTTGAGCATGCAAGCCCTTGGCCAGGATCCAATAAGTGGGATTTTATTGCTCTGATGAAAATCTGGGTTCAAAGATGAAAACATTTCTTTCAATTATAGATAGCTATAATGAAATTATGGATTTTATATTTGCTCCCAATTTATCTTTTTTTATGATGAATTTCGAGTTTATATAAATATCCCTTAAAGCCCGGTATGAACTGGGAAACGCTGTTTGTCATATTATTTGTCTTTCCAATCTTTCGGTATGTCATATTGTCTTATCAGCGTCGGCAAACGGATAAAGAGTGTTTCATAAAATGCAATAAAAGCCAATTAAAAATCACGAATATTTCCGCGACATTGTTTCTTACGTTTGGCCAAGGCTTTAAGTTTAGCGAAATATTTCATTTGTTCCTTGATCGTGTGAATTGTATGTATATATAATTTTTATTTCTTCGTCCTGTTTGATACAGGTGGGTTTTTTACCTCACACAAATTTGTATTGAATTGGATGTTAATATAAAGTAGAATAAAACGGTATTTTAAAACAATAGCCAATGAATTGAAGTGATTTAGCATATGAGCAAGCAAAATATACAATGTGTTTTTAACAATATTTAATGCGGGTGTATTTATATTACAAGGTTTATCAGTATTCCGTGATTTTATTTTGTTGTTTTTGCGGAGGAAATCGGGGAAACCCCCAGTGAGAATCTATTTTTATAGTCTGCGCGTGCGCAGTGCGAGTTTGGCTGAGTTGCGCATGCGTATTTGCTACCAAAATAATGGCGGTTCGAGTATTTCGAAGCGCGAAAATATCAAACTTTGGAGGGATTTTTCTCTCAATTGTGCACCTGTTTCGCTTGGGGAGCAACGGATTCTGATAAAGTAAGTTTTTATCTATTTATTCATGTGAAAATTACGTAGTTACACGAGGGGTGCAACGGAATTGCATCTTTTGGATGCTCATCCTACGGCCTATAAACCACATCATGTTGCATGTTTAACCCTTGTATCCCTTTTTAGAAGGTCCGTGATCCTACTTTTTAATCATATATTTTTGTTCTTCTATACGTTTTACATGTCATATCAGAAAATAGGAGAAAAATCATTTCTACAACTTATAATATGTTACATTTTTCGGGCATGCTTCCAAAATAACATGTTCAGGAATATGGGAAAAGACATCTTTGCATCACGACAATGCACGTCAATGATTTTTGATTCGCTAAAATACCATGTTTTCTTGTATATATAATCACTAGATAGACAATTTTAGTAGGACCATTGTTAAAAAATTCAATAACGGTTGAGTAATTGCGACTGTTCCTGTAACTCGTACAAGGGTTAAGATGGCGCCATATGGGGGAAAAGGTGGTATATTTGCACTTGTCATATCTTCGAAACGAGTTCGGTGACCCCAACTTTTTTTCTGGTTTTACTATGAGCATATCATAAACTTCAACCCTGGGAAGTTTCAGCAAATTCTTATTTCCAGAACAATTACTGATGAATCACCTTAACTTTAACAGGTCCGTCTTGATAATTGCAGTGGATACATAGTAATTTAGATAGGTTCGATTTTTGGGGGACGCCATATTACACAGGACTTACAGGGTTCCCAATAGAATTTGAAAGTAGCAGGCTTTCTGAAAGTAGGTGGTTCCGAAGGTACCTCACCAGGGGGAGGGGGTTCGAGGGCGTCTTCCCGATTTGAAATTTAGACCATCTGAAATGGCATTTGCAGCCATTTCTGGAGAGTTGTTAAGGTCCATTTACACGGTACGATTAGTTGTATACGATTCTTACTCTGGCGTATGTGATCGAATAAACACGCGTACAAACGTCACATTTCAAATTTCGCCATTAGCGAATGAGCAATAACGTGGCATTAGCACTCGTTTTCATTCGTCAGAATGACAATCGTATACAACTAATCGTATCGTGTAAATGGGCCTTTACAGTGTATGTAGATTTGTCATATCCAAACATTTAGATAAGAATATCGTGTAGAATTTTTGTTATAAAAGGAAGAAACCTTTCCCTTGGCATTTCTTTGGTAACGACGAAATATTTTGGTTTATAATCTGGATAAATAGCCGGCGATTATCTACGCTATAGACGGAGAAAATCGTCGGGTGCCGTCCTCTATTGGAATCCCTAACTGATAGTACTAGCGATGCGTGTTTTTACTTGCGTGGATATTTGAGTAAACTACGGGAATAATATCCCGATCGACGGATAAAAGGCACATGCATGCGTACGACAGGAAGGTTTCTTATTAAAGGAATACCGAATGGTTTTCCGTGCAGGATTGCGTGATCCGTGCACGAGGGATGTTGCGAGACTTTCGGAAAGCGTAAAAATACACGAGCCGTAGGCGAGTGTATTTTTACGCTTTCCGAAAGTCGAGCAACATCCCAAGTGCATGGATCATGCTATCCTGTACGGGAAAACCATTTGGTAATTGTTTTATAAAATTACTACAGTGAAACGACGCTTAACTTGATTAAAATTACTGATGAAATGTGCAGTTCTCACAACATTCGTGAATTAACCAATCAGAGAATCGCTAATCCACGCTATTGAAAACAACAACATGTGTGAACAGAATTTGATCGCAAATTCGCGAAAGTATACAGCGAAAATACAGGGACTTTTTCGATAAAATATACGAAATTTGAAATGGAAAACCCGCTAAACAGACAGTCAAAGTAGTAGTGAAGATTCTCCAGCTGAATATGTGAAGATTGCGAAGCGTTTGATCAACTTTGAAGCGAGAGATGTTGTACTTTCATGCCATGGTCTGATGAATTTCAACGCTTACGCGTTGCTACTTGCTGAATAGCAATGTATCGATCAGAAATTTATTCGTACAACTAAACCAACGTCTCAATAATTGGAAACTTACTTCAAAGTCGAAAGGTATCGTACAATGAAACTTTACAATGCGAGTATATTTGTAAATTTATATGCAATAATTTCTGTTCAGAATTTCCCGTGCAGGATTGTCTGATCCTGCACGGCTGTTGACCAATCAAATTGCGTGTTTCACTGTAGTTATTATATAATGTCGTTTACCAAAACCAATGACGAAATAAAATTAATTCTTACCAAGTGGTACTCGCTTTATATCTGACGTGAGATTCTGACTTTTCCATGTAATGTCCAATGAAGGAATAAAGATAGAGAGGCTAATTGAAGCGGGAACATGACATTGGTAAAATGTTACTTGAGCAACCACATCCAAACCACGAAAAATTCTCTCATAAACATAACTTTCAAAGTCCTTATCACCGGATGCTAATAGAAAATATGAAAATAACCAAAATATAAAACAGCCAAACAATACAATGCCAAACTTGTAAAAAGGATATGTTCTTATTAGAAAGGACCTGGGATATTTGTGGTCACATTGTTTAACTGGTTACAGTCAGAGGGTGGGGCCATTCATTATAGAACATTATCATACTATATGCTTAATTGCTTATTGATATACACTAATAACTATATTCACTCAGGTTTTGGTGGTTGTTTAGACAACTGATCAGTGTTGTAAGTCCTGAACTGTAACACTTTTGTCAAACACTGAGGGAAGAGGTGCTTGGAAAGCTCAGGCACGGAATATTAGGAAAGTGATAGAGAGGGTGGTGGTGGTGGGCAAAAATACAAAGAAAAACGCGCAAAGGAAAAAAGGAGGAAATTCGTACAAAGAGGATCTTCAAAATTCTGAAAAAAATTCCAGAACAAGCAGACAGCAAAAAAAGTGTGCAAGGTGAAATATTTCCCACCCTCTATCACTTTTTTTATGGTCCGCCCCTTAATGGTAATGGTTTTTCAACAATGCATGCAATACAGTATTTTCTTATTTTTTATTTTAAAAAAGCATCGATATCAAGTTTAGCACTAAATTTTTACCAATGAACAAAGGCTTCAACATTGAAATGTGCAGCCACAAAATGGTTGGAACATGTTTATGGGGCGCTAAAGTGGACAATATTGCCTTTAAAAAATAAATATTTGCCAAACTGCAGATGTTTGCTCTAATATACAAAACAATATGGACTAAACTTATAGATACTTTAGGTCATTTCTGACCAGTATTATAGATACTTTAGGTCATTTCTGACCACCATTACAGATACTAACTTTAGGTCATTTCCGACCATTCTTATAGATACTTTAGGTCATATCTGACCACTCTTATATACACTAAAAAAAGAAAAGCCTATGAAAACGTTACATTTTTCTCTGTTGGTGCTGTTCTTGCTTCATTATGAATTCATTTTTACTCCCATGAGAGTTCCGTGGAATTTCCATGGAATTTGTGCTTTCGAGTTGTTTGTGCTGAAACGCATTCTCTCGTATAATACCCCGTACACTTTGAAATGGCGATGCCACAATTTACCCCGCAGCAGAGAGCTTTTACGCATGGTATCAGAGTTCCTCCGTAGCAACAACATAAACGTGAAGGGCATCGTACATCTGGATATTCTTTCGTGAAACTTTGGCGAACCAAGTTTACGTTGTTGTTACGGAGGAACTCTGATACCATAAAAGCTCTCTGCTGCGGGGTAAATTGTGGCATTGCCATTTCAAAGTGTACGGGGTATTATACGAGAAAATGCGTTTCAGCACAAACAACTCGAAAGCACAAATTCCATGGAAATTCCATGGAACTCTCATGGGAGTAAAAATGAATTCATAATGAAGCAAGAACAGCACCAACGGAGAAAAATGCAACGTTTTCATAGGCTTTTCGGTGGATTTGTACTCGGTAAAATCCTGCCGAAATTTTATCATAAATGCAACAAATAGCGAACTTTTCATACATGAACTCAAATAAAGAATACCGTTTGTCATTTCCGTGCGCAAGCCACTTTTAGGGGAGCAAAAGTTGACCACCCCCCTGGATAGCAAAATTTACTATTTTCAATTTTTTTATATTTTCCATAATTTAAGAACTCAAGCAATCCATACATATAAAAAATTACATTTCATGAACAGAATTGTGGAATTGAGAGCAATTTCAAAATTGTCTTACTTTTTTGATACACCCTGTATA